AGTCGCATTTGAAAGATTTTTATTGAACAAAAATTCAATATGATACTTTAAAAATTAGTATATATTGTTCTAAACACAAAAGAGCTCAAAACATCAAAATAAGAAAATACCGTAAATCAAAAAAAGGTTTACTGTTATTTAGTTTGGTTCAAAACCTACAAAATCTTCATTGCTTTCACTGTAATTTATTTTTTTTATTTAGGGAGCATTATAAATAGTTATGTTTTCAAAAGAAAAAAAAAACAACTACTATTGTTATAAATAACCTATTCAATTGACTAAACTATGCATGCCTATTTAAATATATTTACACATGGCTTGTGTATATCATATATATACATATATATTATTCATACCTTTGGTGTATAAGACGCAAGCAGATTTTGACATCAAAATTTGGGGTAAAAAAGTGCGTCTTATACACCGAAAAATACGGTAAGTGAACTTTATTTAAACTTTCAAGCTCCATTGTGTAATTCAGAAATTTATGTACTTACTTAGTGTCATTTTCTTTCTATACTTATATACTAACGTGGCAGTCAATCCTGCTATTTTATGTAGAGTAACCATATAGGTTGTGGGTGATACTTGCTGGTTACCCTCCCTCTATCTGGCCTGAGGTTCTGAATTAAGAATGGCTATCCTGAATCTTGGATTTTTATCCTGGCCCTTTGACTCAGTTGTTAAATAAGGTGCATTTCAGGTTCAAAATACCAAATACTTACCTAACTTAATATTTTATTTTATGTCAACACCCATAAAATAACCCATTTATTTTGCATGTCCATTTTCAATTATTCCTAGGCTAACTTTCGTAGTTGTGTTACATTTTTTAAATGTTTATAATCTTGCATTCTGCATATTTCCTTTTTTAGATATTCATAAGACTGACTACTTGATATTTATTTGTTTTTCTTATAGTTATAAACTTATCTTACTATTTAATATATTACTTTTTAACTTTCAGCAATTTACCTGCCTACTCGTTACTTCCGTTCTCAAATATTCATAATTTAAACATAAATTGTCTTACCATTTGACTTGGTGTTGGTTGTTTTACTTTTGTAAATTAAATATTCATAGATATACCTACTTACTTTTATTTCGTTTTTTTTATGTTTATTCATAAACTTAAAGCTCCGTACTTGTTGTTTTGTTTTATTTCAGCACTTATAAATTCACCTACTTATATAATCGTTCCTCTTATAAATATTCATAAGTTTGTATTATTACTTGACTTTTTTCCTTACTTAAATATTTCTAAATTTTCCTACTTAAGTTGGTGTACTTTTCGAATTTACTTTCTCATTTATTGTCTTCTTTCTAAAGTATTCAAAAGTTTCTTTCTTTTATTTTCTAGGGTTCATAAACTTACCATCTTGTTTAATGTCTACGTTTTCCTATATTCCGTGATTTCATTTGTGAATATATATATATGTATATATACATAGCTAGTACTTGATGTTTCCATTCTCTTTGTTTTGAAATTACTCTGATGTTCCACAAGAGCGACTGCCAGTTAGTTAAACGTGCATTTAGTATATACAGCTCAAAATCACTCAGAAATGTTACAAATGATTACAACGTATATCCCTGAGCTAGATATAAATATGCAATACATTGTATTTTGTACATCTAACACTATAAAAATAGCCGTTGACTGAAGAGCAGTTTTAAAGTTACGCTACCAATCAACCAAGTAGTATAATAAAAATGAAAACAAATGATAATTAAATCCTAGTGCTAATATTACCGATGCAAACGAAGACAGTATTCAACTTCTTTTCGTTACACAGATGTGTCGACAACTTCTACAGTTGACATCATCGGCGTAATAATGTAAAGAAAAGGAAATTAACTTGATTTTATTTATTTATAATTTTTCCTTACTGAAACAATTTCACTTGGATGATGACTTCTTTATAAAGGTATTATCGTTTGTTCACATTTCTTTAAAATCTGTTCAGTAACACGTACAGTTGTTTTGAAATAGGTTATCAAAATGGTTATAAATTTACATTTCAATATTTATCGGTAAAGGGACTTGAAACAATCAAACAGTGCAAATATGTCTTGTATAATTCTAGTTTTTTAAAACTATTTTGCACTTTTATAAAATAAATCATTGTATTTTTTTAGTACAGGCGGTAAAAAAACTGTATGGTTAAATTTGTTTTGTTATTGTCACGGATCTAAAGTTACACGCAATGCGTTATCAGTAATGTCGTCAGTGCAAGATAAAGGTTAATTTACTAAATATCTGATAATCTTGCAACCGTGCACGATTTGATAAGATTGACATTCTAGATGCAAAGTCTGAAATACTTTTGATACACATACATGTTTTCCAGGTATAATGTACAATTCTATGAAGTTATAAGCTCTGTGAGGGATTGTCACAAACATGATATCTCACTTTCGATATACTATCTTCGTATTTTAACATAGCAGCATCTAATGTTAAACGTACTTTGCATTCGCAGATAAGAATTTCAAACATCAAACAACATTATTTATTTAAGCAACCTAGAAACGTGCTTATAACAGGGACTTTCGTAGCATCCATTTATACCCAGTTTTAATTTACTTTTATGAACTCTTTAAATTCACATAAATCAACAAGATGAAGGATACAAAACTTGTAGTACTGATGATTATACTTTGTATTTGTTTATCCAGAAGCTCTTCTAGTTCGATGCTAATGGAGGCCTTTGTTACTTCACAACAGAAAACAGGTGAGAAGTTTTCTTTTGATCGCTAGTTTCTTAATTAAAGTAATTAAGGGTAGAAAGGTATTCAAATATTTAGTAATCCTTAAAGTTTAAATAAGTTATCCTTCTTAATTATTCAACTTTTTTGCTACCTGTGTAATACTTTTTTTGTTGCTTATATTTTAGTATACGTAATGGTATTAGCTAAATAGGGGAATAGAGACATTCAATTCACGTTGCTCTTAAAGCAATAACGTAAGCATAAAAGTTGTACAAATCAAATACTGGTTGGTGTGAAACCCCTGTTTAGTGTGAAAAATATCACTATGTTGCAAAATAACTTTTTTTTAAATTTGATTTTTTTATAATTGTAACACAAGCTGTGTGTGTTTTAGATAAGGAACAAGTGAGTTGTAAGTTAGGTTTAAAGGAGTTTGAACTTATATCTCCGTGACAATAGGCCAATGTGAAACGGTCAAACTATCTCTAAGCCTAAAAAGAAAAACACATAGCTATTATATACAGCAAGATATACGTTCGAAGTAAGTGTATCTATTTGGTTAGCAGTGCTTACTCGGTATCAAAAAAGCTTTATGAATATTGGGTTTTATAGAGTATCTATAGTCAAATGTAATTTTCACTACTTTTGGTGGGTATAACTTTCTTGCTTTGTCAGCTTAGGTGTTTAACATCATACCATCAACTTTCTCTTAAGTTCTTTATATTTTGTTATATCATGATACCAGAATGCGATTATTTCATTATCTTTACAAAATATTCATTTGAATACAAAGATCAAAATTATCTCTGGTGTGTTTATTGTTATGTTTTAACAAAATATCGAAAAAGTAATTAAGTTAGTAATTTTATTTTTCTACTGGAAATATATCAGCTAGAAACATATAAATTAATTGCAAGTATAAAGTTCAAAATATATCTTAAAATTAACTTTCTTCATTTAGGCGTAATTTGATACTAAGTGCACAAAACGTTGACATACACAGAGATTAGACACAAATATAATGAAAGCAATTGCTTATTAAATGGTTATAATAAAGATATGCTTTTTCCGTAACCTCAAATACTTTATATGAATGAAAATATGATATTTTTGAGAAGTAATAACAAATCTTTAGTGTAAAGTTTATTTTGTTTTTTGCACCTTCAACATATTATGTTTTGCTTTATTTCATTATTTGAGAGATATCGTTTACATTGTTGTAATGTATATGTAAATATACCCAGTTGTTAAATTTCTACTTTCATAGTCAGTTTTTTGTTTGTACAAGTTCAGAAACTTCCAATGATATCATTTATGTTTATATATATGAAGTGTTTGTTTTTTTCACTTCGTAGGTAAGGATGTTGTTTTAGATTGGCTTGAGGTATAATTTTGGATCACATTATTTACCTAAAGGACCTACTGTGTGACTCTTCCATTTACATGAGAAAAAAAAAAAAGGTTGTGTCCCATGCTTCTTGTATGAATTTTAAAATATTATTATATGTATATCCTTCATTAGAAAGGGCTGTGATATATATATATATATATATATATATATATATACTTACTACTACTAGTACTACTACTAATACGTATTAATTTACTTACTTACTAGTGGTACACTAATTAAGTTAGTCGTCGTACTTAACTAACCGACGTA